AACCATAAGTTTTGTAACTCGTCAATATTGGCCTCTTCAGAATTATGTAAATGCTCCTTATACCCGAAGCTCTTTTGCTATTTTAATAGGGCACAATATGAACAGGCTGTGTTACGTATTTGAATACAGTATGCAAGGAATATAAAATTTAACCTATTGGCATTTCTTAGATTATTTGCTGAAGTATATTGTTCATACACAGTCTTAAGTATTAAAATCATTTAATAATATATATAAAAAAAATCTTAGTTAATACATAATATAATGTATTTAAAATATAAACGCCTATAGTATTTTAACTAAATTAATAAAATTAAAAAAAATATTTACGAAAAATGATATTATTAACGATATAATTTTAAAACAATTAACTAAACAGTATTTTTTAGCACATTTTTAAATTCATGTTATTTAAAAGTTTGTATATCGACAGTTTTTGTTGATATAACATTTTTATTAACATGATTATGTAACAATAATAAAATAAATTTTTATTAGCACATATTACAATTTATGTTATATGAAAGACTATCGATTGTTGTTTTTCTACCAAATTTTAACTATGAAATATATATAGTAATTTTTTAGTTCATACACAAAATGAATAAACCGACAGTTAGTAATTAAGTTTTAGTGTAAAACTCTTATCCTTAGGCTGTCTTAAACTCGAAAAAAATATATCGTCTTTCATTTAACTATCAATAATTTACAATAAGTATTTTAATAACATATTTTAAAATTAAGGTTAGATAAATAAGAATTTTTGAACATCAATACCTTCTGTAAGGACTTGGAGGAAAAGTTTAGAAGACAATTAGTATTTCCTATAAATTCGATTAAGGAAAAACCAACCAATGAAGTCTAATCATCAAATTTTGAATAAAAAAATTTGCAAGGAATAATAATAAATTTTATATGATTTCAATAAAGTGAAGAAAACTCTCTGCTGGAATGAATTCACCCTCAATATAATATATATTTAATATAAAATTAAGCAAGTGGTTCATCCTGAGAAACTAGTTTTTGATTGGATGAACTACGTTTAGTTTTCATTTTCTTAATAGCATTTATTAAAAAATGATAATTATCATTTTGTATATGTAAATACAAAGTTTCTCTCCACTTATTTTTTTCTGTAAATATTCCCATTTTTAGGAGTTCAAATTCGGCAACGACAACGTTTTGTTAAATTTTAATAAAATCAGCATATTTTCCATGAAATGTAAAACGATGCAATGAAAGTCGACCGTTGGTTTTTCAAAATGTTGTTTAGTCAACGTCGGAGCGTGTGTTCAGGCCGAATCTAATTCCCATTTGCTGGCCGCGACGTATAAATATTAATGGTGTTGTTAATACTTGGAGCCTAATTAATTGGAATGAACAGCCCTAGGTGTTTGCTAGGTCAACCATGGATATTGTTCTTGTTGTTGCTGCTGGTGCTGTTAGCACTCGCACCAACAACGGGTCATTCGACCCCATCCTACTGATGCTGTTGTTGTTGCGAAATTACGGGGCGAGGCTCCTGTTTTGATTATACTATATATATGTTATATTGGGTGACCTCGCGTTGCGTTACGTTGCATTAGGCCGGTCGCTCCGTTTCTCCCCGCCTCGCCCCTAACTTAATTACTTGCCGTTCAATTTAATTCATTATAAAGTTATCGCAGCTAGGCCGGCCATGGAATTATCGTAATCTATTAGTGGGGCGAGAGGAGATCGGGCAGGGTTTGAGAGAGACACAAAGTCTCTGTGTGACTGTGCCTCGTTATATAGCTAATGGATTGCATGACAACATTATTTTGTACATAACAAATTCGCTCAAACGCAAATGCACGTAATTGCTACGGCTTTACTGTAGAAAAAAATCTAAAATTAAATAAAAATAAAATCATGTTAAAACATTTTATTTCGAAATACACAAAGTGTAACTTATTATTAATTGTTATTATTAATCTCTAAATCTGTAATCTTATTAGAATTAATATTTTTAACATATTACATCTATCCAACAAATACTTCCAACCAATCACTTCTACTACTAAGGGTAAATATAAAAAAATGTAAATTTTTATAAGTCTTAAATAAAAAAAAACACAATAGAATCGATCTATCTATGTATAGTTAACTTATAAATAAAATATAAATAAAAGTATCTGGGGTTTGTGCGGACCACTGGTATAGACTACAAATTGGTTAGGTCGTCCAAACTTGACAAATCAAAGATATGAACAAATATTGTTAATATAATTTTGTGGGCAACAGTTTTATTAACATTAATTATTTAATTGTAAATACTATGGAATTGTCATCATTCTTATCATACCTGTTATACTTCTCACTTTACGACCGACTTTCGTTCCGATGACTACGTCGTTAAGCGAATTGGTCGATAAACGAGAAGCTTCCGCCGCGAGTATAGGATCGTTGTAAAATTATATAAACTATGCAACAAACTTCAAATTTATTCCTATTACAGGTCGAAATTCGATTAGTCGTAAGTGCGGGTGTTCTTTAAACAGATTGGTCGTAAAACGAGGTATACCTGTACTTAGTCTAGACACGAACAAATGCATATCTGTCTGTAAGTACTTTTAATCATCACCATAACCATATACCCCACCCTAACAGGTCTCATAAATTGTTAGATTTACGACCGTCCGAGTTGTAACTTTTAGAGCGAGTGATTTTCCATATCAAAACTGAATTATTTCCCCCGAAAAACATGCTCTCATTAGTCTTTTTCTAAGATGATTATTTTTTTATACATTCAAGTTTAATCTTAGAGGATCAATACAAGAAGATAATCTCTTAATTGGTGCGCCGATGAAGAACTTAATTCCTAATCATTAACTGAAGAAAGAAATATACTTGTTAGTTGATAATTCATGAGATCAACACTTGGCTGAGTTGAGAAGTCAATAAGATCAGTATTTCAATTAATCAACTGTTCAAGAAAATATATATTTCATATTCATAAACCCCACTATGACTCCACAACGATAGAACTACTTAAATACCGTGAATTATCTAGAGGCCAATGGACTATCGACCGTCCAACAATATGATTATTTGGACACACATAATATTTTGGTATATTTATTTATGCTAAGTGCAACCCTATAAGAAAAAATGCTGTTAAAAAAAGTCGCTTTGATGTCTCCTTTGTTTGAAAATACCGTTTAAATTGAATGTTTTTCTTGTGTTTCTTTTATTTAAAAAACCTTTCTTTGTACTTTGATAATGGTTTCAAATTGAATCTCACAATTCCCTTGTACATGTTAAAAAAATATCATTCAGTAAGAAGGTTCAATTTACAGCATTATTTACAAAATATGTTTGAATAAAGTATTTCCCTTAAATATTTAAGCATAATCTCTCTTTATACTTACTAATTCATTATAGCCATTTGTAACAGTTAATTATTTTATCTTTAATTATGATTTCAATATTTTCAATTATTTGTTTGAATACATATTATTAATTTAATAAATATACTGTAATGATAATTACTTTATATTCAGTATGCTTTATTATTTATTAGGTCAAAAACATACCTCTTATTCTTAATTTTTTTTTTGAAGATTTTTAAATCTTAATTAAAAACAAAATTTCGATTGTATTTTTTCAAATACATTTCCTTTATTATTTTTTCTCGCATCGAAAAAATAATATATTTATTTTGTTGATTTAGAATGGAGAGATGTCTGTCAAGTAAGAGAGTTTTGCATTCCAATTTTCATCGTCAAAATTAATGTGCAAATTAGATTTTTTATCATTTAGAAATATTTCATGGCAATGTATCGCACTGATGCGAAATTCAACGAACAAAAAATGTTTTATCAGATTGTTTGATATTAAAATTTAAAAATTCTAATAATATTTACTAATTAATGTTTTCAATTAATTATGCATTTTTATTAAGTAAAAGTATATATGTTTTTTTTTATTAATATATAAAACTTTCATTGAAACTTAATAGATTATTGTTAATTGCCCTTTTGAACACAAAATTTTCAACTAAAAAATACTTTGTTTTACTAATATTTTATTTATTGTTTACGTTATATTGTAATTGTATAAAATTAATAACAATATTTATTTCAATAATTAGAAAAATTACATAAGAGAAATACGAAAAAGTAAGTAAATATATATCATATCATTATGTTTTTTTTCATTTACTATATCATAAACAAATTAATATCTTCCATAGATGCTATCAAACTCAGAGACTAAATCTGTTACATTAGTTATGTTTCTAACTTTAAATTGGCACGTATGCCATAAGTACTTATATATGTTGCCAAATACGATACTGTATATAATAAACTGTATATAATGCAGTAAATATATAGGTATTATAATATTATAGGTATAATAAATAATAATATTTACACATTTTTTAGTACTGAACATTTAGAGTTGTGTGTTAAAATTAGCATATTAACATGTTATATAAAAACTATGTCTAAGAAACAAAATAGTCAATGATTTTCTGCTAAACTATACCTTTAATACTTGCTAATAAACTGCATTTCTATTCTAAATTAGTAATTTATTTTCTACCAAGACCTTTATCATGAAAACTTTTTTTAACCATTCGATATTTTATCAATTTATAAAACGACATGCAATAAATCAGTTTACATATATATTTTTATGGTTTAATATATTACCCCAGAAACATAAATTTAATATAAATCCATTTATCATTCTAAACATATTTTGCAAGTATCTGTTGCAAGTTTAAATTGTAGATTATAATACCAAAAATATTTTAATTTACAAACATTACTTTGTATTGGTGGATTCGCCGGGTTTATTAAAACTATTTTAGTTTATTAAATAGTACACGACAGTAGTGATGAAATAATATTACATGAAAGTCCTACAAATAACTTTGAAAATAAGCAGTTCCTCGTTTCATCCGAGTAAACATAAAAAACTAATCATGTGATTAACTCCTCTTGTAAAAGACGAATTTAATATGGGCATCTTACCTAAAGAATTCCTGCTCATCCTTGTACCATTTCACTGCATAGAGCTGCTCGTCGCCCATGTCAAATTGGCACTCGAGTCTCAACTCATCCCTGAAGTCTATTACGGCCGGCGCGCTCAGATTAGTCAACTTCACTGCCTCTGCAACATTCCAACAAATAGCGAAAATTATTAATAAAGAATTCAAGGGTTTTCAAGGATTCCAATCGCATTACGATATAGGATTTTTGTAACTGCCATTCGGAAAAAATTGTCCGATCTATACTTTTTGTTGTTATTGAAATCGAGCGAACCAAAAACGACAAAAACTAATTTAATCCGACGAAATTTATTACAATCCGAACACGAATCCAAACAGAAATATTTTTCGTAATACAATTTTTGTTTTATTTACATATATTTTTTTTTGAATTACAGTTATATTGAAGCATCGCCAATTATAAATTTGTATTCATCGTAATCCAACAAACAGATACATATTAAATACAATTTTCAGCATGCTCGAATTGAAATAATTGGCTACGTAATGATATATACTTCACATACATATTTCATTGGATTTGCTCACGGTTGGTGAATTTTTCATTGGATGTAACTGTATATTTAAAAAAATAAAAAGAGGATAACTGTTCGTTGGTAAGATTCCTTTTGGCAACAAACGCAATTTCAGGACACTTTCCCAATTAAACTTTTGGTATTTGCCGAGTTTTATAAAAGAATAACACAAGACTTGTTAAGCATTAAGTTTTGTTTACCTTAGCCTCGCGAATCGAACGGTTCCGGGGTTTCGCTTGCGCTTCCTCAAATACAGCAATAAAAAAAGGAGGTAAAACAAAAAAAAAACAACTTTAAACTGTGAACAGGTGAAAACTCTTGTTTCTTGTAACTTTCGGTGGTGCATAGAAACTGGTTTTCGTTAATTTTCTGAACAATCTTTGCGAGAACTTTTGTGCTTCGTTAGAAATGGAAAATCTCTAAGATTAGTTGATTTCTCGTTGGCAACGAAACAAAAAGTTGGCAACGAAATAATAAATGAATATTAAAGAAAGTTCCCAAATTGAGATATTAAAATAGATAAGTCATCTTTGTCCACAAAATACGGTTTTCACCCTACACCCACCCATACGGTTTCCACTCAGGTGACGACCGATTTGACTGTATTAAGTGGTGTATCCAGATTTCATCCATTGTTTTATACCGCATGAAACGCGAAAGTTATTTCGCTTCAACAGCTCCAAACAGCGCTCGGAGTCATCAATCATTCGAAAGATTTCTCATGATCAAATGTTCATGAAAGAGTGTGAATACACTGCCTTCTGATATCTTCAGAGTGTCATCTATCTCACGCAACTTCAATTTACGATCGGTCATAACCATTGTGTGGACTTTTTTTGTTTTGTGCAACATGTGCCGAATTTTGGCACGTTTAAAATCAGCAAACCACTTCTCTACCATTTGTCTTGACGGAGAATAGACCCAATAATACTGTATATAGTAATCTTATTTATATTAAAAGGTCTTTGTTTGAATATCTTGAACATTATCTGAATTTAGATTTCAGTTACAAAAGAAATTTGTTTAAGCTCCAATAATTTAAATCCTTTATCTAGAGGTACACGCAATGTACCATATTTTTATAAAATAATTAATAATGGATATTGGCTCAACTAATTAGTCGAACTATGCGAGATAATGTTGTACTTTAATAAGTAATTATTATTACTAGTAATTTTCCACTATTCCTAATTACAATTAATTAGAATTCAAGAAAAAAAATATGATAAAAATGTCTTTTTATTTTGGTAGAATAAAACGCTGAAAGTTGATCTATTCATCAAAAAAAATCGGCCAGTTTATAAATGGCCATTGTCTCGATGTGATATGAATCTTCAAACTACCTTAGGTATGGAATACCTAACTTATTCCATACCGTAGAAGCAATGTAATACATATGCACATATATAAATAATAAAATGAATAAAAGGTATATTTCTGTGAATTCACGAGACAGCGAAATGTATCATAAAGTGGGAGAATAAGATCCGAACGCTGCGGAAATGGTGACCAAAAAATTGCATGAATCAGGAGAGAGGGAATTAATTTTAGCGTCGACGAAATTGTCCTGACATTTGTTCGCAAAGTTTATGATTGTGGAGGTACATTTGAATGAAACAATTTAAGTGCGATGTTCGGAACGAAGCGGAATGGAACGGAAGGAAAAGGATTAAAGCGAGCGCCGATAGCGATTCGCACATTGAATTCCGGGAATTAATCACAACAGAATTGGATTAGACGTAAATATTTTAAAGGCAGCAAACTGCGCTGTAAGAGTGGTCGGCTTTTGTTGGGGGGAATGAGTGGAACTTTGGGAAGGGGAAAAAGATTGGGTCGACAGGAGAAGCGTTGGGGGGCGCCGGTAGACGCACAGTAAATTTCGGAATTCCGTTATCGCCGAAATTAAGCCAACTTCGGCAAACTCTTTAGTGGTTCATTATGGGGCGCCAGCCTCCCTCCACACTCGAACAGAATTTCGCACGCCAAGGAAAAATTCATTAAAAACAAAGTAAAAAAAGTAGCATGAAGCGAGGAAAAAAAACGAACGAAGAAAGCGGAATTAGATTGTGTGGAAGTTTCACGCACAGAGGGCGCCATTCATATATATGTTCGACTTTGTGTATGTTTGTGTATGCGAATATATGTGGGTTACAAAAAAACTTTCGTTGCGATAAAATTCCGTTTTATCGCTAAACGTTTTTTTTTTCGTCCGAAATTTATTTTATTTAAGCGTAAAGAAAAATAAACGCCCTCAACTTATTCCATTTCGCTAACATACAAAAAAAAATATGTATTCCATCATTTAAATCTGCTCTGAGTTAAACCGAGTCAACAACTCAACATTTTTCATTTGCGGTTATTTTTTTAAAATTATTTTTTACGTATTTCTTTCTATATAACAAACAAAAGAAACCTTACGTTGTTATAATATTTTTGGTATGCATTTTTACTTTTTTGAATTGTAATCAATATTCTATTTGTATTTAAGCACTTCAATAATGAATATACTAACATAATATTATAGAATACAATACAACTACACTATTCTATTTCATTTTCTTCCTATTCAATCAGTATTTTAATTGTGAAATTACTTCTTAAATATAATAAATGTATTATTATAATTAAATAAAAAATATATGGTCTAACTTTCTTCAAACATTCAATACATATTTTTATTGACTGGATCTTCATATCGACGGTCAAAAATGAAAAATCTGGATAAACTAATTATTCGTCGATTACTTGGAACTAAGTATCAAAATACTATTGTAAATATAAAGAATAATTATTTTAAAAAAATAGTGTTTTATAACTAATTTATTCATTCTATATGATATTTTACATTGCATTAAATACAAAAATAAACTGATATATTCTTAACAAAAAGAAAATTATAAAAAACGGAAATATAATAATATATTATTTATATTATGTATATTGAAATATTAATTTTAAGTTTGAAAATTCTATTTCTTAATTTTCTACCAAAGTTTACCGCAGGTCAACCGCGTAAGTATTTCTAGTCGCCCGCCTGTACATCATGTCACATAGCTTTATTTTAAAATTAAACTGATTATTCCATTTTGAAAAAAAAGGGTGCCCGTATTGATTGAACGTTTAACTAAACATTCAGCAAATGAAATCATGTCTGATTTTGAACAACCAGAAACAATATCTTCTCCAGCTTTATAAGTTTCTGGCTTATGTAGATATTTCAATAAAGTCATAATTCATTTAGCACTTTGCAACTCGCAACACTTTCAAAATTATTTTAAATTTCTTTAGTCTCGAACGATAATTCCCTGGTATCGACACTATATATTCCCAGGAAAATATAACCGTGCTTTAACGTTCCTGAATTACACGGATAATTGGCATTTTTACTATAGTTCGAATGGTTCCAGGAACAAATTCCTTTCAAACAAATTTCTTTCCAACAAAAAGTTTTCAAATATTTCTCTGGACACGACGAATAGTACGAGTAATTGGTACCGACCAATTTTTTGGACTATTGGAAAATGATACAGTCAAGACAAATAAAAAAAGAACATTATACATAAAAAAATATTATAATTTAATTTTAATTTTTATAATTTACTTTAATTTTCCAAATTAAAATTTAGTTTGTTTTAAAATGTTCGAAACCTTATATTATAAAATAATTGCTAATAATAGCTTATCCAATATTAACACCATAAAGAATGATTCGACAAAAGGTGATTATCATTATTAACTAAATTTCACACATCATTAATTAATAATAAAAAGTAAATAGACTAAAATAAGAAATGTACATATACACTTACAAATACAGGTAAATTATTTTTTTTTTATAAAATAATTAAGCTGCAACTCAAAGAGATATAGAATCATTAGACATTATTGTCAGTCGCAATAATTATAAATGTATAAAAAAAACCTTCCAATAATCTGTTTTTTACAATAATCGCAAATAAAAATAAACCAACTTTTGAATATTTTAACATATACTCATAATTTGCCATCAAATTAATACTCATTCAATTTTAAATATTAACAGTCGAAGTACTATTACTATTAAACAACAAAACAAAGTATTTTTTATTGCAATCTATTCTTTGAAATATTTCTTATAATATATGGATCAATATCAGTTGCATTATTTTCTTTAATAGTTTAATATCAATTACCTCAACTTAAACTTAGATAAACGAAAGATTATATGATATACAGAACTTCGAAGTTCTCCAATAATGTCTCATCTTGAAACACTTTAGTATCATTTTTTATTAGAAGTTATATTTTCATAATCACGAGCGGTACTGATCTTAAATATCGATTAAAGTTTTATATTTCCCATTATTAAAATATAATTTAAAAGTAATTATTTTTAATATAATAATTATTAATATTATTTAAAAAAGGGTCGCATGTATAAAACATTGTCAATCTTGTGTGTACAAATAAATAATATAATTATTAATTATCGGACAGATTACTTGCTACTTTAATCAGCTTTTCGCAAGTCTCTGATTTAAGTTTTTTTTTGTTTCTCGCGAACGCTCGAAACGGTTTGCAGGCACCGGAGACGTCGCATTAAATTA